AATGGTGATGGTGTTGGTGGTGATTGTGATGATAATGATGGATAATCTTGGTTAGGAACGCTTCTCTATCTCTAAGCCCTCTGGTTTCTAAGAATGTATACAGTCCTTTTACAAAATATCTGGCTTTGTAACTGATGTGCATTAGTACAAGCTTTTGGAGCTAACAGAATGAGTGCATCCAGGTTTTTTTTATTCCGGGTAAAACCATGGAACCTGGCTGATATTTCATTAACTCATCAAGTATTTACTGAGCTCCAGTGAATGTGCCTAACCCTCATGGGATACATCCCTAATGAAAGCTGAGGAATCCAGTTCCTTAAACTCTGAATTAAGCGTATATTTTGAACTTCAATTTCAATGACCAAATCCCTACTATTGGGCAGATTCTGCTCCTCTACCAAGAGTACTGCCCTTTTCATTGGTTTAAATGCAGGATTTCTCAACCTCAGCACTAGTGATAGTTTGGGCCAGAAAATTCTTTGTTGTGGGGGGCTTTCTGTGCATTGTAGGATCTTCAGCAGCATCCCTGGCCTCTACCTGCTAGATGCCAGTAGCACACTCCCGCCCAGTTGTGACAACCAAAAATGTATTCAGACGTGGACAAGTGCCACCCCCTTCCAGTTGTGAACCATTCATTCAGCTTCTTATTCCCTCTCATTCTTTGTTTCCCTCCCACAGTCATGTCTCACAAGAGAACAGCAAGTGTGGATCCTAAGCAACTGAACCAGATCAACTTCAACCTTCCCAAGAAGGAAGGACTCTCCTTTCTTGGTGGCCTTCGGTCTAAGAATGACTCCCTTTCCCGCTCTAATGTCTGTATCAATGGGAACCATGTTTACATGGAGGAGCCGGAAGCCAAGAGTGAGACCAAAGACAGCACCCCTTCTCCTTCCCCGTCGCCCCAGGGCTTCAGGAAGAAGCATTTGTTCTCATCTACAGAAAACCTGGCTACTCGGTCTTGGAAGGAGCCTGGGGAAGGAGGGGCAGTGTCTTCTGATAGGGGGCTCTCTGAGTCTGCCACAAAGGACTCTCTGAAATACATGTCTCTGCCATCCTACCGGCCACTGGTCAGTGGGGACAATAGGGAGAACCTGGCTCCAGCGACCTTGGAGGCTGCAAAAGAAACCAAAGAAAGCAAGAAGCAGGAGAACAAGAAGTCCTCCTTGCTTTCCCTGGTGACGGGAAAGAAGGATGTGGCCAAGGGCAGTGAAGGCGAAAGCCCTCCTACCATCCCGCGGAAGGAGAGGGAGAAGGAGAAGGAGAAGGAGGGCACGCTTAGGGAAGTCAGACCGGGGGAGGGCGGGTCAGGGCCTGCTGAAGACCTTGTGAAAAGATCCGAGAAGAATACTACGGCTGTTGTCTCTGGACGGGGTAAATCCCTGAACCCCTTTGAGGAAGTGCAGATCACAGAACCGGAAGCTGACCCAGAGCCCAAGTCAGAACCTGCACCCCCTGTGACCTCTGCAAGGGCACCCCAGACCAAAGCCGTCAAACCTCGGTGAGTCTTCTCACGCAGGCCTTTCCCCCTCACTGTTTGTGGTAATCAGCACGGCCTACTGTCAGAGCAAATCGTGCTGCTTGTCCCACGCTGGGCCCTGTGTATGCCCAAGGTTTACTGGTCTGCATTGTTATTCTTTGCCAGTCCCTAATGCCTGCCTGGCCCACCCTGCACAAATTGCAAACTGACATGTCCCAGCCCAAAGCCACTGCCAGCAGGCATGGTCTGTCCACCTCAGTAAGATAATCAGACCCCGGGAGAATGCCATGGTTTGTGGCAGGTTCTGAGTGTCGCAAGTTGGAAATACCAGGTTTCCGTTGTGGAATGTGCAGAACCTGTGTTCATGAAGTTCTTATCACCTCTTTCCCTGGGAGGCAGCCGTTATCTTTCCTCCCTGTACTTTGGCATTGGTTTACTGGTATGAGAGACCCCTGGTCCACTCTCGAGTCTGCCTGTGGCAGTTCTCTGTGTGTTTACGCTGCGCCTTGTTGCAAGAGCCTGAGGGGGCCTCGGAGGTTCTGCTTTTCAGTGCGACTCACATTCACACAAACAACATTTCTGTGGTCTGGGAGGGGAGAGACTTTTTTTTTGAGATTCTGCTCACTTTGATTTGATGTGCACACACACACACACACACACTCTCAGACACACACACAGAGACACACACAGACTATTCCTCTTCAAAATGTGTGCCTATTGCCTGTGTCTTCGATGGCTTTGAACTTTTTAGATGCGTTTTCTTTATCACCAAAAGAAACTGTAGGTTGTTGCTTTGCCTGGATCTTTCTGTTTCTGTGGCAACAGCCCTTTGTGTGGCAGATGTGCTTGGTGATACAGTATGATAAGTATTTCGAATGTTAAGTATTGGTGTTCCTTCTTTAACTTCTTAAGGTACTGCCCCTAATATAAAACAAGATCCCCCCTTTGGAACGACTTTATTTTTACATGTTTTTTGCCTCTCACGATGTGTCTGCAACTGACCTGCAGATTTTATTTTGTCCTTTTTGCAGACTGGAAGTGTCTCCAGAGGCTCAACCCACAGCCAGGCTTCCTTCTTCCTCTGAGTCTCCTCTCTTTTTTTCGGCTCTTCCTTTCACTTCTGGCCAGACACCTGTCCCTTCTGAATTGGGGCATGATTCAGAGACACAGTCCTCTGAATCTCCTTCTGTCTTCTCCTCTTTCTCCTCTCCCATAGCAGCTCCCATTTCCACATCCACTCCGATTAAAAACTGGCCTTCCACAGACCAGGGCCAGGCTGCTTCTGAAGCACCACCTTTGCTCCTTGAAGAAGAGAGTTTAACACAAGTTCCAAACACTGTTTCTTGTGCCTTGGGGTCACTTGCCAAACAGCCACCCATTCCAGTGTGTGAAGGGATGGAAGATTCTCCAATGGGGAAGACCAGTGAGATAGGCACAGAGAAGAATAGTAGTGGTAATGACTCAGAAAAGTCTCTCCTGAAGCAGCCTGAAATGGGGCAACAAGAACTTCTGAGGGTCCCCGCCACAAAACAGCAAGGCCACATCCCTTCATCTGAAGAGGCCCCGGAAGTAACAATTGCCCTTTCACTCAGAAGTGGCAGGATTGAAAGGCCAGCTGGGAAGCCTCCGATGGGGGAAAACACGGACTTGGAGAGTCCGTCTAGGTCTTTTGTGGAGAGTGAAGGAAGGGATGGCGGAATGTCTGTAATTGAAGAAGCAGCGCCCCCTCTTCAAGTGGGAGAGTCGGTCCCCCCACTTGACTCTGTGATGCGGAGACCTGAAGAGATGGGTCTTAATGTCAGCGAGGGCCGAAAGAAAATCAAGAAGCGTGTGTCATTTTCTGAGCAGCTCTGTACGGAAGAGGAGGTGGAGAAGTCCACTGGGTTGGTCAGTCCCCGGGAGCTGATGTGTGAAGGGGCTCCCGCTGGAGACGTGTCTGACGGAGAGCCTGCTGAGTCTCCCCACATGGGAGACTCAGAGAGGAAAGCTGTGACTGAACTCGGGCCGTTGAGTTACAGTGTACCAGCTTCTGTGGCGGATCACTTCCCCCTCCCCTCTCATGAGGCGGGTTTCTCAGAAGGCCCCACGAGTGAAGCAAGCTCAGGGAAAGACACTCCACTCTTGAGCGTTGAGGGAGACAGTACCCTTATGGCTCAAAATCAGAGCAAAGCCAGCGATCATGAAGGTTTATTGTCTGATCCCCTGAGTGACATTCCGTCTGCCTCAGATGTTAAAGCTCCAGTCATGGCTGATCTGGACTTAACCCTTCCGTCCATTCCTGAAGTCGCATCGGATGATGAAAGAATAGATCAGGTTGAAGATGACAGAGAGACAGCCAAGGTGGCAACTCTGGAAGTAGGAGCTTCTTCCTTGAGTGGGTTACCTGCCCGTCCTGAGAAGGAAAAGGCGCTGAGTGGTGAGGTAGATGGGTTGGCAGCTCCTGCAGAGAGTGCGTGTGACCTCAGGACAAAAGCACCCAAAGCATCTGTTACAGCTTCCTCAGAGCAGACTACAGCTTTGGGAATTCATAAACCGTATCTTGGCAAGAGCTCACACTTGGATAAACAGCTGCCAGGCACTGGCAGTGGCGAGGAGGAAAAACTGATGGGAAATGGGAGGCCAGGTCAGCCTCCTGATGCGGCCCTGGAATCTCTTATATCTGGCCCCTCCTTTTCTGAGACCTTTCCTGCCACACACTCTTTCTCCAGCTCTCCACACTCTGACACTCACCACACCAGTACAGCAGAATCTCAAAAAAAAGCAACAGCAGAGGGCTCCGCTGGTAAGGTGGAAAATTCTGGCAAGAGGAAGCCGCTTCTTCAGGCCTGGGTCTCACCCTCAGAGACACATCCAGTCTCACCTCAGCCAAGCGCTGGAACTGGGTCAGCCAAGCACAGGTGAGAGATGGGGAAGGTGGTCTTCATAAATATAGTGATGGCCCTCCTTTGCTTTTTGCCTGCAGAGGTTATGGCTTTCTAACTACACAGATGTTCTGATAGCACAACCTGCCAGTTTAGGGCCTATTTTAAAAGGGCTATCGTATCCCCTGTGGTGGGAATACCTCAAGACACTCCTGTGTTTGTAGCAAGAACGTTGTAGTAGTCTTCAAGGGTAGTTTAGGAAGTGCTCTGCACAGTCAGATTTGGAGGTCTCCAATTGCAGAGATGTACTGTGACCAGTATCTTACTAGTCTCAGAAACCAACTGAGATTGAGCGGTAGGACTTAGCAGCGTTGAAAGCTTGCTTTAACTACGGCCCGATGTGAAGCTGGCATGTTTGTTCTGAGTTCTTTCTTTACTGTTGAGGAACAGAAGGCTCTGCAGGGACTCCCACGGTGCAGTCCTAGGATGTAGTTGCCTCCAAAAATAAGAGACTGTCTTTAATGTTCTCCTGACACTGATAACGAGACCAAGGGTCCTGTGAGAACGTAAGGACGCCGGGCTAGAAGGGTGTACTTCGTTGGCTTGCATGGCTGTCTAGTGCTGACTTCTTTCATTTCCACAGGAACGTTGGCTTGTGTTAGACTGGAGATGTGAACAGAGCATGTCACCACTCTCCCACCTTGTCTCTCTTGATGGCTGTCACGTTTGAGATGGGAAGTCTCGGTTTTGCTGTTACAGAAAGGTCTAATGATCCTTTCCCCCTTTTCTTTAGACTTCATCCTGTGAAGCCAATGAACACAACAGCCACCAGGATTGCTAACTCCAGCTTGGGAACTGCCACCATCATTAGTGAGAACTTGATCAACGAAGCCATGATGAAGGTATGTCTTTTCCAAGAAGTAGACATGTTAGTTAGGGGTCTACAAAAAACCCGTTTCTAGAGTCACCATTGTATACATCTCTTGGGGCAGCAGGTACCACCAGGAGTAACCTAACCATACATCTTGTGTCTTTGGATAATCTTTGGAAGTCCCTACACTTTCCATTGCATGACTACTTTTCACTTTATAGTTATTAGTTGTTGTTGAATTTTTTGTCTCAAGCAACATGATTGACAGCAGGACTTCTTTTTACTGAGAAGAAAATGTCACGTACCATCTGGCCCATTCAAATCAGATATTATCATTTTCCTGTGTATCCTTTCTTGTCTTTTGGCAAGAATATAAAATTCTTGTAGTTGTAATCATTGCAGAGATATACTTTTTTGTAACTTTATTCTGAAATAATTTCAAACTTTAAAAAAGTTGCAAGAATAGTACAAAGAACTCCTGTATACCTTTCATCCCAATTCACCAATTGTTGACATTTTATCAGATTTGCTTTATCATTCTCCCTGTCTCTCTCTCCCGCTCCCTCTCCATTCTCTCTTTGTATTTACGTAATTTTTTTTTCTGAACCATTTGAGAGTAAGTTGCATACATCATGCCCCTTTTACCCCTAAATACTGAAGTGTGTGATTCCAAAGAATAAGGACATTTATAAAAATCAAGAAATTTAACATTGATGTAATACTCTTTTCCCATCTGTAGTCCATATTTCAGCTTCACCAGTTGTCCCATTAGTGTCCTTTTTAGTTTTTGTTTTTCTTTTCTAGTCCAGGAGCCAATCTAGGACCACTCATTGTGTTTTGTTGTCTTGTGTCTCTAGTCTCCCTTATTCTGGAGTAGTTCCTCGGCCTTTTTGTGTCTTTCAAGACATTGACAGTTTTTAAGAGTTTCGATAGTCGTTTTGTGGAATTTTCCTCAGTTTGGATTTGTCTGATGTTTCCTCATGGTTTGGTTGAGGTATGCATTCTTGGCAGGAATTAACTATACAATGAATGTGTCTTCCTCAGTGCATCGTCTAAAGAGGCCCCTTAGATCAGTTTGTCCTGTTAGTGAGAGTGCTAACTCTGATGACTTAGTTTAGGTGGTGTCCACCAGGTTCTCCAGGGTAAAGTTGCTATTTTTGCCCTTTATGATTAATAAGAAATTTGTGGGGAATTAACTTCAGGCTATGTAAATATTCTGTGCCTCATCAACCTTTGATTCACAGGCTTTAGTATCCATTGATGATTATGGTAGTTGCAAAATGATGATTTTCCAGCTCTATCATGTGCATGGAAACACTCTTCAGTTCTCTTTTTCACTTAGCAGTATATTGTAAGTAATTTTGCATGTTGCTACTTCATTATTCTTTGAAATGGTTATAGCCGTATTTACCTAACCATTTCCCTATCATTGGATATTTGGGTTGTTTTCTGTTTTTCAATATGAATAACCTATATCAACGATTTCTTGCATAGAACTTTTCCCCTTCTTTTAGATTGTTTCCTTAAGCGAAATTTCCAGGAAGAATATTGCTGGATTAGAGGGTCTCTTCTTTTCCCCGGTGATCTCTGCTTCAGAGTGTCTTCATCCTGCCCTCTCTGGTTCTAAAAGCAGAAGGATTTAGAATACTGCTTTGTCGCAAACCTCTGGTCTTGGACTCATTATCACATGGACTGGAGGAGAAGGATTTACCGGGTAATGGGTGACTGTTAGTGGGCAAGGATGTGTCGTGTTTCAAATACATGGAGAGGAATTTCCTAACTGACTGCTGGGGGCCACAGTCGGTAGAAATAAACTTTGTTTCTATTTTAGTTCAGGGCATCTAAAAGTTTCATTCAGTCATAGATTTTACAGTCCAATGGACGACTCCAGGACATCAAATAGTTTTTGTGTTTTTAAAATAAAACTTTTTGCTCAAGTCTTCTTCAGCTCTGCCAGCATTGTTTTCAGTGCCAGGTGGTTGCTCTTGCCTCTGGTTCTGTTGCACCTGTGCCTCCAGGAGCTGGGCTAAATTTTCAGAGAAAGCTGAAGGTTTGAGTTTCAGGTAAAGAGGCTGAGTAGTAGTAATGAATTGTTGCTGAAAACAAGTTAGCATCTTCTGGCCATCTTGCCTTCTCTTCCCTTGTAGTCCATGCCGACAGGGCAGGTGATAAGCATCATTCTCAAAGTTACCAGCTGTAGCCAGAGCTGTGTACCTACTATGTTTTAGCCGTAGCCTACAAATGTACCACAACTTGACCAGCTCAGCTTGGCTGGCTTCTGTGGTTGTGTAGAAGAGACAGCACTTGTCTTCCTGGAGTTAACTATATTTACCAGGAAACTGGGCAAAAGAACAAGCATAAAAGGGACAATAATGAAAGCCGGAGTCATTTAGTGGCCTCCCATCCCCTCTTCCTTTCACTGTGGAATGTACCTTGGCTCCAAAGAGAAGCACACACCTAGCTTTCGGGAAGTGAGCGAGACCCTTGGCTCCCGTTTTATTTACTCTTCAAAGCTCATCTAATCAGGAGCTTATCTCCTGGCTCTAATTGAGAGGAGAACTTGCCTTAAAACAAAGACAACTGCTGCTTATGTTGCTTAGGATTTGTAAGCCCTGCTGTTCCTCTGCTTGCCTGTATGGAAGCTCCTGGTCCTGGACCATACCTAGTGAACATTCTGAGTAAACATGGGGAGTTTCCTGGAGACTGCTGTTCGCTGGCCGTGTAATAAATGCTTTGTACTAAGGCATAAACAATATTTATAAAAGTAACTACTCTTTGGAATGTTGCAAAATAAGAGAGAGGTTAGGGAAAGAAATTGCACAGCTGAAGTTATGAAAAGCTAGCTGAATCATTACCATAGAGGCTTTCTTTTTTGGTTATTGTTTTTGGGCCTCCATCTGTTATAGATGATTTATAACAAGGAGTGTATTATTTACTCAGGTGGCTGTAAAACTTCCATTTAAAAATAATACAGCCAACTAGATCCAAAATCATCTGTCATATTATATGGAAAAGTTGGATAAAAAATTGAATATACGTCATTATTATTACAACTATGGAGGAAAAGATCCAATGGAAGAATCCTGGAAGGAAATATGTGACAATGGGAACTGTTGTTTCTGGAATTAATGGGTATTTTGTTTGCACTTCTTCCTCTCCATGGCTGTTGCTCACTTTCTGTAATGCTGGATTGTTTTGTAATTTTTTAATCATCACATACCTAGGATCTTCTAATGATTTCAAAGTCCTACATACTTTCCCTTTTGGATTACAGAATCCATATTGAATAGCTGTTTAACAGTTTGTATGAAGTACCTTACGTGTGCATTATATAATTGTGAAAACTGAAAACAGCCTAAATATCTAGCGATAGAAAGATTGTTAAAATATAATGGAATTTTAAGCATTCATTAAAAAAGCAATTTTTTGCTAAAATTTAATGATGAGAAAAGTCTCACAAAATAATAATTTAAAAAAAGCTATGAAGCTATATTCTGTATGATGCTAAAGTTGTAAAACATACCATGAAGAAAGCTACGGGGAAAAAAATAAGAAAGAAAGAGACCCAAATGTTATGTGTTGGGGTTATGGGTAATAATTTTTTCCTTCTTCTGTATTTGAGGTTTTCTGTGGTGAGCAAATATTCCTTTTATAATTAAAAAAAATCCTGTGATTTTTGGGGAAAATTAATTTTAATTTATCTCCAAGGTCTGGTTCAGATGTCACTCCATCTTTGAGGTTTGTTGCAATCACTTGTGTAGCAGTGGTTTCTTGCTGGTCCAGCTCCTGGAGCACACTGTCCCTCTCTGGGCTCTGACCCCCTCAGCCTCAGATTATGGCCACTGAGCCCTGTGTGTGTCTGACACTGTGGGGACCTGGCCCCTACTCTTGAGGAGCACCTGACTGCTCCTCCCTCCAGGTGTTAGCTTCCTCATCTTTCTATCTCCCAAACTCCCTAGCAGAGTATCTTATGTAATTAGTATTTTTGAATAAATAAAATCCTTGTATGACAGATATATAATCTAAAAACGCTTGAGGACATATTCTTGGTTATTGTTCACAAAGTCTACTTTTTTCTTGATAGGATATGTAAACAGACATGCAACTTTTTAAAAAAATTGTAGTAAAATAAACATAATATAAATTTTACCATCATAACCATTTTTTGTGTGTGTGTGTGTGAGGAAGATCAGCCCTGAGCTAACATCCATGCCAATCCTCCTCTTTTTGCTGAGGAAGACTGGCCGTGGGCTAACGTCTGTGCCCATCTTCCTCCACTTTATATGAGACGCCTCCACAGCATGGTCTGACAAGTGGTGCGTCGGTGCGCGCCCGGGATCCGAACCCCGGGCCGCTGCAGCGGAGCGCGCGCACTTAACCACTACGCCACCAGGCCGGCCCCACATCTTAACCATTTTTAAGTGTGCATTTCAGTGGTGTTAAGTACATTCACATTGTTGTACAACGAGCCTCCAGAATTTTTTTTCTAGACATGCAACTTTTAGGTGGAAGGTTGTTTCGGAAGTCACAAATAGAGTGATTGAAGTCCAGAGGACGTATCCTGTGAATGTATGCCTTCAACAAGTTAAAAAGAAAAAAAAGGATTAAAGGAGAAGCAGTTTTTGGAAAAGTGTTCCCAACATCTCACCTACTTCTGTGCGGCCTGTGTTAGGCTAAAACCTGCTGTGTGTGTGAAAATGTCAGTGTGTGTTTCTAAGCTAGGATTGCAGTCACTCTGCCGTTCTTCCTAACCAGGACGAGAGGGATGGGATTTCTCTTGCAATTCTGGCGAGTGTGTAGACAGTTGCGTCACTAGGCTGAACAGGGCCGTCTATCATGTTGTGTCAATGGGTATTGATTCTGCTCTTGACTTAGCTTCTTAGCCTTCCTAAGTGGAACCATTAGACCCTCAGGGCCGTGAGACTGTGATGGCCTCAGAGTTCTGCAGGCAAGATTGTCTTGAGGTTGCTCCAGGACCTTGTTTGTTTAAACTTGTAAATCTCCTGAGCCACAGGTTTCAGGAAAAGTTAGTTGTTTTTTTCCTCTCTTTCCTTACTGGAGACTTGGCACGTCGTGTTACTTTTTATTTACTCCTTATCTTGTGTTTCCTCATGGTTCGCGGGCCTGGTCCGTTTGCAGTTGGACTCCAGTCGTCCCAGATTATAAATGCCAGTGAGGGAACTCCTTACGGCTCCTGCTCTCGTCAGGAGTGGGGCTGCTCAGCCCTGGCACAGGCCACTGTGTACCCAGAGGCTGTGCCATTGATGTCTGAGGGTGGTGACGCTGATATGGTGGCACTTAGCTTTGACTCTGCATATTTTCTGGTATGAAGCGACTTAAAGTGGAGGGTCTGAGGGGCCAGGGCATTGACATAATCACCAAATCCTCCTGAGAGCAGCTGAGGCAGTCACAGTCTGGGGTGAACGGCCACCTGTCATATCGGGGGGAGAGTGTCACCTCCTCCACCGTCTGTCACCAGGGTTTCTTCGTGGGGCCCCTGGGCTTGGGGCTCAGCTCTCAGCTGTGCATCGATACTTGGTTGTGCCAGTTCCTCGTGTTCACAGAGTCCTCCAATGATTATGTTTCTTACAACCTCAAACTCAGAGCCTAGTCCAGGGGTCTGCAGCCTGTGAGCCAAGTATGGCTTTTACATTTTTAAAGGTCATAAAACACAAAAACAAAACAATAAAGAAGAACATGCAACAAAGGCCACATGTGGCCTGCAAAGCCTAAAATATTTACTCTCTGGCCCTTTACAGAAAACTTCATCAGTCCATGACCTGTTTTCCACCTAAATTGAAAACAGATTCCCAGGAGACCCAGCTCATTAATAACATTTTCCTCTTTTGTGTTTCTTTCAGATATTTGATTTCTATGCTGACTTATTAATTTCTCCCCCTTTTCTCCCCTCTCCACAGAAGTACAACCCCTCGGACCCCGCGTTTGCTTATGCACAGCTCACCCACGATGAGCTGATCCAGTTGGTCCTCAAACAGAAGGAAACAATAAGCAAGAAGGAGTTTCAGGTTCGAGAGCTAGAGGACTACATCGACAATCTGCTAGTCAGGGTCATGGAAGAAACCCCCAACATCCTCCGAGTTCCGGCTCAGGTCGGCAAAAAAGCAGGGAAGATGTGAATCGCCAGCATACGACACTGAGACTTTTCTGTGAGTTTGTTTCCACCTGCTCCTGAGGTCAAGGACCCAGTGTGCCTGATAACCAGCGTCCAGGCTCCGCCTCAGGATCTCCCTTGCATGTTATCTGGCAGGAGTCAATTCTACCAGCTGAAGCCAGGTTAATTATTACAATGAATCTTTTCCTGTACGTTCCCAGGGTTTTATTTTTAAATGCCACTGTGCCTTTAACTATGTTGTAAATATTTTATGCCCCAACCAGAGACACGTCATAAGATCTGATCCTGGCCCAGAGATTCAGACAGCGCTGGGACTACTAATGTATTTTAACACTGGGGTTTTCTTTCTTTGATATTGAGATTTTAAATTACATATCCCCCAGTCATTGAAGCCTGGGGGGAAATGAGAAGGACCATGCAGTGGGTGCTGTGTTACACACACTTTCTCGGCTTTTGAGTAGCTCAGGCGTGGCTTTTTGGCCACAGATGCTAAATGTTGATACCATGTAAACCTACTGGGCTTCTTGGACTGTCTTGTTGTTTTGACTGGAGCAGAAGAGTTTAGGGAAAGCCTCTGAGTGTGCCTTTTAGATTCTGAACAAGCTACCTTTTCAAAACGTCAGCATCTACTACTCTCCAGCCTTCACATGTGCGCTTTATCGATCCAGAGGGCCTGTCTATGGAGATATGAAAAGCAGACTAGGGGAATTAGTGAGTCCGTTTGCACTTGAGGAAGGGTCAGCGTCCCTCCTCTCAGGGTAGCAGGGGCCCGCTGGCTGGAATGGCCTGGTCAGAGCCTTGATAAGCACTTACTAAAACGGCTCCACCAGCGAAGGAATGAGTTCAGTAGGATTCCTTCGGTCTTTTCTTCCTGTGCCCTCACACACTTGGCCCCTTCTTAAATAATAGCACCAGTTCAGATTCTTCAGGGAATTTCACTGTTAGTAGTAACCTGATATTGGGACTAGAATGTTTCTGTATTTCTCATTTTTTTCTCCTAGTTGTGACCGAATCTCATCAGATCTTGATGTCTCTCCTGGGGGTAGAATATCACAGGCCCATGGGGTGGGCAGGGGTTGAGATAATAGGAGTTATTAAATGGGGTATTTCTTTTCTGTATGTTCTTGTTATACTGAGGTTAAGAGGCAAGATTCTTGGCAGCGGGATCCTTCTTCAGGATCACGTTTGCTGCAACATTAGTTATTATCGGAGCACTTTAATCTGAAGGATGATACTGTAACTTGATTTGTCTAACTACCTTTTAATTATCTATAGCGATTTTATTTAATTCTCTCCTGCAGTCCTGGGGACCACGGTAAACTTCTCAGATGACTTGTATTTTTGTAGTGCTATGAAATTTATTTACATACCTATAAAAGAGAGCTGTTTATGAAGCTCTCTTGAAGTCTGAAAATATACATGTATATATTTGTTCTGCAATCTGTTTTTTACTTGATATAAATGTATATTGACTGTGATAACCCAAGTGCACTGGGGGCAGGTGTACTCTGCATGGTTTCTCCTTTGAAGAGCGGGCGTGGAAACCTGAACTGCTCACGAGAGGTGTTAGTTCATAGGATCTGGGGAACGTGACTCGGTGAGCGTTTAAGAGGGATGTCTGGGTGCAGGAGTGAGTTCCTGTGCTCTGAAATGCTACTTGGGGACTCTGGTGAATGAAGGACAATTTACTTCAAGGGTGTCTGGCTTCTACCACTGCTGGAAAAAAAATTCAATTTATAGCATTCCTGCACCTCACCAAGTAGATAACCTGGAGGTCATTAGTTAATAGCTGTCCTTGAGGACTCTACTTTGGGGGAAAATTTATCTGGGAAAAGCTTTAGCCTGCTCTGAGCCATTAGCAGGGGCTGGTGAACTGGAGTGCTGGAGCTCCCGTAACTGGGGTGTGTCTGAGGGCATACACCCATCTACATGGGGGAGCTGGGACCTGCCTCCAGCTGCTGTGAATGCTAACCTAACTGATAGGCCCTGGGAGGGGGCTGTGCTCTGGAGAAGCGGGAGCAGCTCTTTTCTTGGCCTTGCCTGGCTGCCTCCGGAAAGAGCAGTCAGTCCTTTAGGGAAGCATCTGATTAAATACCAAACACCTTGCAATGAACTTCAATTGGAGGTCAGCTTCCTGAAAAAATATCAGTCCCTTGCCCGGTTGTTTCATCTCATCTCATTCCTTGGACTTTGACAGGTGTCCTGCCCTCCCCTTTTATTCCTGTGTGTCAACCTCATCAGGGAGGCGGAATGGAGGAGCAAGAAAGTCTGCCCTTTGCCATGCAGGACAGCTCTTGGCCCTGAGTGAGAGGCGTGTGCACGCATACATGCGTGAGGGGGATGAGTGTGTGTGGCTTCCAGCTTTGCTAACAGTGGGAGCTCAATAGAATGCAGAGGGAGGAAGGTCCATGACACTCAGCCACATGCTGTATTGAAGGCTAGAGGCAATTTAATGTTAAATTATGCAGGATCTTCCCTCCCTGGGTCACTTCTCCCAATCAACCTTTTTTTCTTTTTTAGAACTACTATTTAATGATCCCTCAAGGCTGAAAGATTAATGGCCTGAGGTGGAGAACTTAACCTCCTAGTATCCACACCACCCTCAAGTCTGGTTTCTCAAGATCTGTCACGTGAGCTACTAACTTGACCCCTTCCTCCCTCCGATTGAAGGACTGCCCAGCAGTTTTGGATTATAGAATTATTTCTTGCTTTGTTACTTTGGGAATTTTGAATTTCTTTGGTTTTGTTTTTAAGAAGTAACCTAAAATTTCCTACAACACTAAATAAAATGGTACTACCTTTCGAAGATTCGTGTCTGTGCTTTAGTATGGGTGTAATAAAAATGTCTTCTGTCTTCCTGGAAGGCCTTTTGCGGCGGTGACCAGTGTTTCTCATCCCATGAGGGTCTCTCACTGGATTCCTGCTGCTGACACCTTGCCTGGTGCCCAGGGGTCCCACTGCCCTTTCTCCTACAGAAGATGGGACAACTATGATCCCTTCCCTATGACACACCCCTCATCTTGGCCTGCAGGGACCATGGCATTTTCCAGATGAACATCATTTGAATTTTCTGCCCCCAGTGCTAAAAGCTGCCGCCCTTTCCTGGGCAGTGGGTACCTTTGGCTGAGCGCATGAACAAGGCCCCTTCCTTGATTTCCTCTCCACCCCCTGCACGATTTCCCAAGGAGTGAAATCTTCACTTTTGGGGCATGATTTGAATTCATGCTGGGTTCAGGACTGCCCCAGGTCTGGGAGCCAGGTCCCTGGGTCAGGGAACGTGGTTCATTCATTGTGGAATAGAGGGCATCCTGGACAAGGCATCTCCTCCTGAGCTCCGCTCTCCCAAACTCCAAGCCTTTGCTGACGAGCTGAGAGCTCTGCCTGCCTCACAACCGTGGTCCATGCCCCACGGGCCCTTGCCTCTTGAAAGGGAGGAGATGCTCTTTCTTTGAGATAACAGTCACATGGTGGGACAGAGGCAGGCAGGGTCTGTGAAGCTCCTGGGTGGGGTGGGGGGAGCTTCCCGAAGGCCTCCTTGGTTTTGGTGGAGGGGCCTGGTTACTCCAACTGGATGTCAACAGTGGGTCCACTGTGTAAAGTGATACAAAAACAGCTTCTCTTAAAACAGCCCTCTGGGTTTGATAAAAAGAAACAAGGGCCCTCTGGAAGGAGAGTCTCCAAGGAGGGAACGTTTTATGCAAATGACCCCAACATTTCCCCCTGAGATTCATTTCCCTTGCTGTTGGAATTCTCTGGTTCCTGCTGCTGCCACCAAACCCAGCCCTTAGGGGCAGGCTACTGTCTTTCGAATTCCAGCCCAAGGAGGGACACAACCCCCTTCTTTCTTTTGAGTCCCCTCAGCCCAGCTGCTAATAACAGAAAGCTTTTAAAAAAATACCAGCAAAATAAAGGGAATGATTATAGGATATATGAGCAGCATAAAAAGTGAACTTTCCCAAATCCAGGATTCTGAGCCCAGGGAAGTCAGGCACCTGCCTATCTCTGCCCAGTTGCCCCAGGTTCTTGTCTTGGCTTCTTAGCTGGTGTAAAGGCCCCTTGTGGTCCGTCTCTGGAGGAGCAGTGTCCGCTCCTCCCCCCATCCACTCCCCTGCCACTCAGTTGGTCTGTAGATTTTTCGAAGTAATGTCATACACGCTTATTCTTCTGGGAAAAAAAGAAATCCTAAGTTTCCCACGACCAAGAGGTAACCACCTTATTTTGATTCTTGTTCCAGCATTTCCCCCTCATACAAATAGATAAGCTTTAAAATGAAGATGGGAACACACAGTACAGACTGTTTTGAACTTTTCTCCATGCCTTTAGCTAGTTTTCTGCAACAAGGACAGAGAGTGATTCCAAGGGAGAGCCTGCCCCAGCCACCATCCCCACCACAGAAGAGCTGGGCCGATGGCAAAGAGGATCTAGCTCACTTCCGGCTCAGGTCACCATCGCAGCCACCTCTGGACCAGAGTGAAGATTTGCTGCGGAGCACCCTGCCCCCGCCTCCCCATGGAAAACGGTCACTTACAGGGTGTAGTTGCCATTTTTCACCACAGCCAAAGCATCAGCAGCACAGGCTCCCTTAGCCCTTGAACCAGTCTCCGAGCAAATGGATCCCGTTCCCTAGGCTCCTCTTCAGGCACCATCTTTAGGGTTCTGCATCTTCCTCTCCTGGGGAGGCAGGAGCTATTGCTTCACATTCACATGGCTTACTGAGTGCTTCGGGGCCAGCGTATCCCAGAGCCCCAAAATCTCCTGAGGGAGAATGTCCTCACTTAGCCTTTCAACGTTCGACTATTTTACACAGAAACCTGTGTCCTGAGCCCTGGAAACAGTCACTCTGGTGACATCGATAGGCCCTCTCAGAGTTGAGAGAAAGCTGCTTCTGTCTCTGCACATAAAGTGCTTACTTCGGGCTGAACCCTGACTGCAAGAGGAATGCCATTTATTGACTTCCTCTATTTGCTGAACACTGACATGTACTAGTTCTAATTCTCATCGAAGTAGATAATATCTCCATGATGCAGATAAGGAAACTAGACTTAGGCTTCAGAACTTCAGTTTGCCTAGGGTCCTGTAGTGGGCAGTAAAGAAAGGATTTCAACTCCTGGAGATCTCCTGACCTGGAGATCTAGAACAGGGGTCTGTGAACTATGGCCCTCAAGTCAAGAATGATTTTTACTTGTTTTTTTTTATGTAGGATGAATAAGTCTAGAGAACTAATGTACAGAATGATGACCACTGTCAATACCACACTGAATACTAGAAATTTTGTGTGTGTGTGTGTGAGGAAGATCAGCCCTGAGCTAACATCCATGCCAATCCGCCTCTTTGTGCTGAGGAAGACCGGCCCTGAGCTAACATCTATTGCCAATCCTCGTCCTTTTTTTTCCCCTTTTCTCCCCAAAGCCCCAGTAGATAGTTATACGTCATAGTTGCACATCCCTCTAGTTGCTGTATGTGGGATGCAGCCTCAGCATGGCTGGACAAGCAGTGCGTTGGTACATGCCCAGGATCCGAACCCGGGCCGCCAGTAGCGGAGTGCGCACACTTAACCACTAAGCCACAGGGCCGGCCCTGAGATTTTTTAACAAATCAAAATAATATTTCATGGCACATGAAATCCAAATTTCAGTGTCCACAAAGTTTTATTGGAATACAGCCACGCTCATTTGTTTACTTAATTGTCTATGGCTATTTCCATGTTACAACAGCAGAATTTAGTTGCGACAGAGATGTTATTGTCCGCCAAAACTAAATATTTGCTATCTGGCCCTTTAAAGAAAATGTTTGCCGACTCCAGTGTAGGATCATTTTGGGGGCCAATGAGATAATGTTCTGATTCACCCGTAATCCTGGAGGACTGGAGCAGGCAGGGAAATGGTATAACTCAACGCCCCCTCAAGACAAGGCAAGATAAGCCACAGCCTCCCTGAGGAGGAAAGTTCAGGTAAGGTGACTGGTATTCACTGGTATGCAGGGAATGGGAGCCTGGGACTACCTTCTTCGAGTTATCGGATGCCTTTTTCCCTAGGCGTTCAAGAAATGGAACACATTAGTCCTCAGCCCAGGGAAGGGAAAGTGTGTTGAGGGGACAGAATAAACAACGCAAAAGGGTGGAGTGAACATGAGCGAGGGAAGTTACTCGGCACCAGGATTCAGGAAGTCCAGGCTGTGCTGTGTACTGTGGCTGTCTCATCCTAGAGTGGTGGAGAATGAGTGTCCACAAAGAGCCGAGGTGGTGGGAAGGAAATCCAGTCAGAAGGGCTCCAAGGGCAACTGCCAGGCTTAGTGTGCCAAGGAGAGTGTCCCCAGGGCTCAGAGTGAAACTGGTTTCGAGTGACAACATTTCAGTCAACTGAGCTGCGAGGAGCGCAGGGGTGAGGCTGGATTAAGGACCTGAGAGCAGCCAGCTCCCCCTGGCTACTTGCTCTAGATTAGAAAGATCTCGCCTCAGAGTTTCGGTCTTTGTTGCTTCTGACAGGCCCACCCAGGACAGGTATTCACGGGAGCTGAACAGCTCTTGACTGAGGGCCAGCCCTCGCTACAGGAGGTGCTCCAGGACACAGCGGTAGGAAGCCAGGTCATTCCACAGAGGCTTAACAATCAAAGGGAAGTGAGAAGGCAGACAACGAACTGGAAGACACAGTCTAACCGAGGGAGGACTGGCAGAGGGCATCCTGCAGGTCCACACCGTCGGTGCCTTCCCCTTCGGTCTCCTCTCTAGAAAGAACTCTCACCTTAAGGTCACTATTTCACATCTGGAGCATGGCTGAGGCAGCCTTTCCAACAGCCTCCTCTCCCGGGTAGCTTTCTTCTCTAATCCAGCCCATTCTTGGTACTCAGCATTCCAAAAGCCTGTGTGCCAGGGACCATGTGGGCGCTGGAGATACAGAGACAAGAATCACGCTTCCAGTTTCACAGGCTAGGGGGTGGAGTGGGGAGAGGGGTTTGAGGAGCATCTGTTAAACAGATAATCACAATCATTGAATGTCGGCATCTCTTAAGAAGAGTTTGTACCAGCAGGAAGGGCACCGAGGATGATGTGTCTGTTCTGATTTCCTGGAGAAAGGCAAATAAATTTCCTAAATAAATCCATTTCTTCTTGAGAAAGTGGAAAACCCCAGACTTACATGTCTTAGTAGAGTGCGCCATCTTCTGGCCTGGGTCCTGCCCACTTCCCAGCCTGTTTGTGTTAGGACAAGGCTCTCCTACCCCTCTGCCCCCTACAGTTGCTGGTTAGAGGATCATAAAACTGCCCTTCCCCTTGACTGTGAGTCGTGTTGGGGAAAGCAGAATTTCAAGGCTTCTGTCGTGGGTAAATGACTCTGCAATTAAATCTCTTTTTTTTCCAATCCATTTAGGTTCAAGATCTGCCCAAAATTGGGGATAAGAGTCTGATGCTGTTGTGCATGATAATGTAAAGGATTACTCCCAATGCCAATTATGCTGCTTTTAGGGACATGTTTCCGCTCCCCAGTAAGGATGTCGACTGTACTGTCTAAAACTAATGGATGTTTCTGAGAGGTGTGTGTGCACACACAAGCATGCAAGTGTGTCTCAATATTTATTTGCTGGACAACCAGAAATATATCCTCATTGCATACCTCACACTAGTGGGGATGTCTAGAAGAGAGGGGACTTGGAATGCCAAGGCCCACCCAAGGCTATCGTGCTGAAGCCCCCTTGTGGTGCGGGGCTAGAGTGAGCAATTGAAAATAAGGGAATGGGGGCGGGCCTGTGGCTTAGCGGTTAAGTGCGCGTGCTCTGCTACTGGCAGCCCGGGTTCAGATCCCGGGCACACACTGACGCACCACTTCTCCGGCCATGCTGAGCCTGTGTCCCACATACGGCAGCTAAAAGGATGTGCAACTATGACATACAACTATCTACTGGGGCTTTGGGGGGGAGGGGAAGGAGGAGGATTGGCAATAGATGTTAGCTCAGAGCCGGTCTTCCTCAGCAAAAAAAGGAGGATTAGCATGGATGTTAGCTCAGGGCTGATCTTCCTCAAAAAAAAAGAAAATAAGGGAATGGTCTGTCGGGGATTATTGCGTCCCTTGGTTGGGGGGAGGGGCGGACCCTCCAGTGTGATCAAGTCCTGTGGATGGGATTTCTCTAAAAAGGATAGTGGTTCTCAGGCTCTGAGGAAGCAGTCTCTCGGGGAGGGGGTGATATCCTTAGATCTGGATATCAAGGAGAGAAGCTGAGTGTGGAAAAGAAGGGACTGACATCTTTTGAAGGGATTTTTATTTGGTTTGGTTGGCTTTTAATGCTTTCCTCTTAAACTGTGAGAAGGGTCTTATGAAAATTCCCATTTTACAAATTTTTTTTTTCACTTATATTATAATCACCTTAAGTTACTCAACCCTTCAGTAAAGTCCATTAACAGTCTCACATGATGCTGGCGTGGAAAAGGAAAGAATGGAAGTCTGGCTGCTTTGTGTTTGTGGGTTAACTAACACCTAGTCAGCGGAGTAGCATGCCGCCAGCCCACTGAGGTCTGCGATGCAGGAAATTCTGTTGTGCAGTAGTAATGGAGGGGAGGGACTTGTGAGCCAAAGGGGCTGAATGGACAATTTTTGAACGGCACAGCACCTCTTTCCCAGTTTATACTAAAGGTAAGCGACATTTGAAGTAGAGAAGGCTGATGCTTGGATCATAGATAAAATGCAATCTTTGTGTCAGAGATGCCCTTGTTCCCCACTGTGGTCCGGGGAACTCAGTCTCATTAGGCATAGAGGGAGTCCTCTGTACCTGACCACTGATTATAGCTCTTTCAAAAGAACCTACAGCCCTGTCTGATCAGATCCCTTTCTTTTTGAGGCTCAAGTCCTTTATCTGAGGACTCCCTGGGTACAGGGTCATTGTGTTGCCTTGTGTCTTCAGACTGAAAAGCATCACTTTTCTTTCAAAATTTTTTTCAGCTGTAAGATGCATAATTTATTGATCTTCTGAAAAAACAGCTGTAACCTGTATCTCATTCCTCAAGGCAGTATCCCTATTTGTTAATGGGCTGACAAGACATCCTTATCCCTCAATTTATTCTGTGAACTAGCTGTCCAATCATTTTCTGTTCTCAGGGGGAAGTGCTGGTCTCACCCTCCACCCTCAACTCCCAATGCAAGGTTGAAATTGAGCCCACAACAGCTTCTAACATCTGCTAATGCTGGAGGCCCACCTGAAATTCTCCACACACACTTTCAATGCGTGCTATGATGACTCCCATTTGTTTTCTTGGAGTCATAAAAAACAAGCCTGTGGCTGTCCTTGTCATTTAACTCATTTTTCTTATTTTTCAGACACAACTGATTCTGAAACTTTCAAGTGTTCCAGTCTTTATTCTTAATGAGTGCAATTAGGATTTACTTATAAGAAAATACTTTTTTTGGTGACTTTTAATTTATATTCATACATCACATGCAAAATTTCTAATTTGTAAGCCTGGTTTCTGTAATAGCATCACTAGAGGCACAGTTTTGTTCAAGATTATTTGATCTATACTATACTAAGTTACGAACTTTGGAGTCAGAATCTTGGAGCATCTTAAAGCTCAAGGTTTTAAAAACATCAGGATCTGCTTGAACCCTCCGGTTTGCCAAAGGCCTCACCACTCCATATTGTTTCCCTCCAGCTCCCTTAGACATTCCTTGCCTAGCCTCTGAAAGCATTCGACTTTGCCACTCTAGGTTTTATTTCAACTCCCTCATTCTACAGTTGAGAAAAGAGAGGAAACAGACTGCAAAGAGAGGAAACGACGTGCCTGGGGAAGCCACTCTGGAAAACAGAACACAATTTCCTGCTCTCTCCCTACACTGCCCTCCCTTTTAGATACATACCTTGTACTATGGCCAAAATCAACATTCACTACCAAAGAGAAATGGAGAATCTGCGATTCCCCTAGCGCTTTAGAAAGGAGAGTCCTTTGGGCATGGCAACAATTTCTTGTCTGTTATGCGCGTCCATGTAGGTAGAAAGTTCACCCAAATTCAATCCCCAGTGTGGCCCACCTCGAACTAACTACAGATAGCGGGGAACCCGAAGATGCAGTCCAGATCAGGAACCTCCTCTTCTAGCTCACGTTTCTACCCGAGTCCGCAGAGGTCGGACCGGAAGTGGCGTACAGCCGCAGGGCGGAGGGAACTACCAATACCGCCGAGAAAGGTGCAGCCTTTAGAAAGTTTACCCCCTAGTTGTGCTTCCGCCCGGTTGCCGTGGCCGACGCAGGGGTGCATATCCGAAGGCTTCCCGGCTCCGGGCAGGCAGTGAGATGCCGGGCGGAGGCCGCTGCCCCGACTGCGGCTCCGCGGAGCTCGTGGAAGACTCGCACTATTCGCAGAGCCAGCTGGTGTGCTCCGACTGCGGCTGCGTGGTCACTGAGGGCGTGCTGACGACCACCTACAGCGACGAGGGCAACCTCCGAGGTACCTGGGCCGGCCTTGCCGGAGCCCGGGGCCAGCCCGGGGCGGGAGAGGTGGACGGCAGATTCCTCCTCTCTCCCGCCCTCTGCTTGTCACGTGCACACTTAAATACGGGAGAAAACGCCCTGCATTGGAAGAGTAGGCTGCAGGATGCCAGGGACTGCCGTTCGCGTGTGTTTCCCTAGCATCTAGTATGGCCTCTGGCACATGGAGTCGGTATAATGAATATTGAATAAATGAAACAAAGAGAGAAACAAAGTTCCACTCAATATCTAGTCTGGTCATGGTGGAAGGGTTGTGGGTCAATTCTTTACGAATACAGCATATACTGTTATCCCTAGTTTTTAGCACGAATTGGGAAAAACATCTGTTTTCTTTGCTTTCCAAGTGTCTCACCAGGGCAGCCCTCAAAATCTGCAGCCGGGAAAATGGCTTGGATTGGACGTACAGGAGGGATGACTGAAAATTTGGGACACTTGGAGCTGCTTTAATGTAGTCCTCATCTTCCTCCATCTCTGTGTATTTGATACTGCTTGTGGCTGTAGAAAACCAGATGGACCTTGAACATGCATAGATGGGCACCTTCTGTGAGACAGGGAGCAGATGCCTAATGATCTGAATTCTGCTTCCTGGCTTTGTGTGCTGTGGGTCAGGGGTCTCGTGAAGAAAGGCTAAACAAGCTACTTCTTGCCCATTCTCTTACAGAAGTCACATATTCCCGAAGCACAGGGGAAAATGAACAAGTGAGTCGCAGCCAGCAACGAGGTGAGAGTCAACCTTTTATGATACAGTGGCTTTAAAGAAAATTGTCCTCGTGGTCCAGCCCATCTGCTTGCTTTTCCTGTTTGCAGCATTACTGTGTAAGGTGGAGTAGAAGAGAATGGTAATTAGAAATAAAGGATGGTGGGCCAGCCCAGTGGCCTAGTGGTTAAGTTCTGCGTGCTTCGCTTCGGCGGCCCAGGTTTGGTTCTCAGGTGCAGACCTACACCATGCATTCAGTGGCCATGCCTTGGCAGCGGCTCACATACAAAATAGAGGAAGATTGGCATCAGATATTAGCTCAGGCGAATCTTCCTCAGCAATAAAAAAGGAAATAAAGGATGAAGATGGTTCTAAAAGAGGTAGGAATTCACTATAAGGTATGGGTTTGCTCAAGGGTATGTTGGAGGTACTCAAGGAGCCCAGATCAAACTTTGGCTTAGCCCTGAATCAAACCAGCCTCCCAAAAAATGATGGTCTGAAATGTGACTCCTTTCCACAAATTTCTTTGTGCCTTTAGAATGACCTCACCAAGTGTGACTCCTGTCGTGGTGGAAAGGTACATTATTTGAGCATCTCGTATCAGAGGCCAGGTTAGAAGTCGCTAGGAGCTGCACAGTAGCTCCTTTGACCTGTCTAACTCTTGCTGTGGGTTTTTCTAGGTCTCCGCCGAGTGAGAGACCTCTGTCGAGTTCTGCAGTTGCCACCAACGTTTGAGGACACAGCAGTTGCCTACTACCAACAGGCATACCGGCACTCTGGCATCCGTGCTGCCAGGCTGCAGAAGAAGGAGGTATTGGTCGGGTGCTGTGTTTTAATCACCTGCCGGCAGCATAACTGGCCGCTAACCATGGGCACCATCTGCACCCTACTGTATGCAGACTTGGATGCATTTTCTGGCACCTACATGCAGATAGTGAAGCTTCTGGGGCTGGACGTGCCGTCTCTGTGCTTGGCAGACCTGGTGAAGACCTACTGTAGCAGGTACCTGCCTAGTGGGAGACACGGGGACAGGATGGGTCCTTAAATTGGAATCCTTTTGCCTTTGGCAATCTCTTTTTGACCAAAGTTCATCTCATTTTTGACCAAAGGATGTGGGAGAGGGGCTGGCCCAGTGGCGTAGCGGTTAATTCGCGCGTTCAGCTTCGGTGGCCCAGGGTTCACCAGTTGGGATCCTGGGCGCAGACCTACTCACTGCTCGTCAAGCCATGCTAAGGCAGCGTCCCACATAGAAGAGCTACAACTCTACAACTGTGATACACAACTCTGTACTGGGGCTTTGGGGAGAAAAAAGAAAAAGAGAGGAAGTTTGGCAACAGATGTTAGTGCAGGGCCAATCTTCCTCAAAAAAAAAAAAAAGGATGTGGGAGAAAAATCTATTTTCTCTCCCCTGTACCTAGTACTAATAAGGTTAATCTTGTTTTATATTTCTAGAATGCTGTAATTTTCAAGTCCCTTTGTCCTTACAGCAGCCTAATGATGTAGGAAAGTAGGGATTAGCCTTGGCACAGGGCTGCTGAGTTGAACCACTCACGTTGTGCATGGCCTGTGTGGCTAGATGCAACAGCCCTGCCTCAGCAGGATCATCTGCTAATGGAACTGAAAGGATATTAGTAAATGACAGAGCTAGAGTTAGAAACTAATTCTTTTTTTTTTTTTAAGTAGCTGTGTTCTTTTCTTTTTTCTGACAAATATAGTAGAAAGCAACGGGTATCGGTGTCAGATAGCTTTGGGTTTGAAGCTTGGTTCCCAGCTGGATGACTGGGCAAGTTTTTCAACTATAAATGCACATAACAGGGGTAGAGTAGATTCAAGGAGAACATTTGTACAGCACTCAGAATAATGGCCGACAGGGGGTGCTCAACACATGTTAGCTCCCTTCTGCATTCTCCTGCCTTCACCTTGCAAGCAGAAGACTCACCCTGTGTTCTCTTGGTACCTGTATAAACTTGCTGCCCAGGAGGCTTGCGTGTTCCCAAGAGGATACAATAGCTTGCCCATCTTGAGTGGGCTGCTCTTTCTCATTTTGGAAGAGCAGCCCCCCATAGGCATTGAGACCAGACCCTCATTTCGGTTATTTCAGCTTCAAACTGTTCCAAGCCTCCCCGTCTGTGCCAGCCAAATATGTGGAAGACAAAGAGAAGATGCTGTCGCGCACGTTGCAGTTGGTGGAGCTGGCAGATGAGACGTGGCTGGTGACTGGGCGGCATCCCTTGCCTGTCATCACAGCTGCTACTTTCCTGGCTTGGCAGTCGCTGCGGCCTTCAGATCGTCTGACGTGTTCCCTTGCCCGATTTTGTAAATTGGCAAATGTGGACCTGCCCTACCCTGCTTCCTCCCGCCTGCAGGAGCTGCTGGCTGTGCTGCTGCGGATGGCTGAGCAGCTGGCCTGGCTGCAGGTTCTGAAACTTAACAAACGGTCTGTGGTGAAGCACATCAGTGACCTTCTGCAGCACCGCCGCACGTTGGTCCGCAAGGCCTTTCGAGACGGCACAGCAGAGATGGAGGCCCAGGAGGAGGAGCGGCAGGGGCAGGGGCAGGGACAGGGGCGGGGAAAAGAGGAAGGGGGCAGTAGTTCCTTAGATTTGTCTGAGGGGAAGCGAGGAGCTAGTCCTGCCCTTCTCCTCCCGCCCTGCATGTTGAAGCCCCCGAAGCGGATCCGTCCCACACCCTCTGTCTCCACGGTCACCGGAGATGAGAACATTTCTGATAGTGAAATAGAGCAGTATTTGCGTACCCCTCAGGAAGTTAGGGACTTTCTAAAAGCCCAAGCTGCTAGACAGGCTGCCGTGAGTGTTCCCAACCCTCCCTGATGCACATCCGGGGGCCACTTCACGCCATTCTGACAGCAGCTTGACAATAGGCCTGTCATATCCAGAGAAATGAGTGCGTACAAGTCCTTAGGTATTGTTTGTCTTGTTTAAAGGAACCAAGAGGGGCTCTGCAGTTCATTGGGTTCAGGTCCTGGAGCAGAAGTCAGAAGGAATGCAGGGAGGCCTAGGTTGGAGGGAGTCCCAGCCCTTGGTGCCAGAGAGTGGGTTGCATATACTCATATTCTGTGGGATGGCTTTCCTCTTAGACTGCTGGGAGAGTGTCAGGGTCGCTCCTGCTCCTGGTTTGAATTGGATACACTGCTGCTGCAGGCCTGGTGGGGCTTCCCTGCTGGTGTGGAGCAGCTGGCATTTCCAACAGTATCAGCCCTCAGAGGACAGGACCTGGGCAACTCTCGGCCCTGTGTCCATTCACAGGTGTTGGTGGGTTCATGTGTATGGTGTCATGAGATCTCCTTCATAACAAAAGGACCGTGGGTGGACTAAGGTTATAGCTCAAAGGGCTTTGCAAAATTTTAATATATTAAAACAAGAGGCATCTGCTAGAAAACATTCTATTGTATAAAACCCGAGCTTTTAAAAACATGTTTTCTTTGGCACTTTTCATCCCCCCCCCCCTTTCCCCAGCGTATTGCAAAAAGCTCTCCAGTGCTAAGGCATTGGCAGGGTATGTAAACAGCAGCCAGCATATGTGGAAGAATAATACAAAGCTTTTTTTTTTTTTTTTTTCCTGTCTAATACTGTCTGTGTAGCAAGCATAAATAACAGGATCCATCCCAAGGCGTGTGGGTTTTCTCCCCTCCCTATGTCTTCTTTTGCCTTGGTGATCAGGCTGGGGTGACATGGAGACTGGCAGGGGACCTGAACCAGGCCTTGTCTTCCTGTTGCTCTTCATGAGGCCCAAGTTCCGCTCCACTTTCATTGGGTCCTGTAGTAAAAGGCTGGTGGTTGCTTTTAGGTTGGGAAAAAGATGAGTGCTGGTGTTTAAAAGTAGTGAAGGCGCAGGCCCCAAGTGAGCTGCGGGGCCCCTCCCCACTGCCTCGGGGGGTTCGGCTTGGGCTTCTGTGAGGCAGGAAGCTGGTTTGATGTTTTGGAGTTTCTCCGTAACATGGAGCTCGAGATCAAATTATTGCAATGGTTCTTGCATATGGCCTCATGGAGGCAGGAAAGTGCGCCTCCTCAGTCCTTTGGTGTTGGAAGGCTGAGACTGGGGATATGGGTCTTATAACAGAACAATAAGTGCTTCTCCAACACCACCTGCAGCCTTGTGGTGGAGCCCCTCTTCAGGCATTGTTTCAGGCTAGGTTAAAGGCATGACTAGCTTCAGTCCCATATCTAAGCACTACTCTCTCCTTCCCTCAAGTCATCCCCGGGCATCTGGCAGAGTCAGCTTCTTAGGGGTAGGGTCTCGGCTTTGTCCTGAAGTGCCCCCTCTGAGTCCTGCTGTATGACCTGTGTACCACTCCTGTGGAAATGGGGTCTAGCCCTAATTGTGCATGCTTTCCACTTGCCCCTTCCACAGGACTAGTTGATCTCCACAGGTGCCTTGCACACCACCCTCCCCCCCTTCTCCTCGTGCATAGTTAACCTGAAAAGCAGCACCTTGTTACCTCCTGTTGGTCCTGGTCACCTGGCTCGTCTGCTAGGCTGGCTCCCTAGTTAGCCCAAAACTGGGTGGGGGAGAGGCCCTAGTGTCTAGGTACAGATGGTCGACTTCAGATGAGGGGGATGAGGAGAGAACACCGTTCTCAAGTTCCCTTCATCTGTGTTTTCTTGATAAGGCTGGTGGCTGCCAGTGAGGCGGTGGGGGGACGAGATGCGGGGAGTACCTCAGGAGGAGCCTGCCTGGGCTGTGCTGTGCCCCTCCATTTGATTTGTCACTCCACAGACTGACAGGACCTCCCCCCTACCCTGGACAGCACCGATTTGACTGCCAAAACTAGCCTGGGCTGGGAGAGAAGTGTATGAAGCCTGTGATCCTGGGATTGTCTGTCGCTACCCCAGAGGGTGACCCTCCTGGCAGTGGCAGGTCTCTGTCTCTCCTTTGGTGCAGCCTCCAGGACTAAAGCTGGTGAGCCCTGCAGCCATGGCCCCTCTGCCTCAGACCTGGGACGTACCGATAGACGTCTTTAAGGGCCCCCGAGAAGCCAGGCTAGTGAGCCCCTGTGGCCAGCCTGTGCTAACGCGTCGCCCGCCCCCGCCCTAGACGGTGGTCTCGCTCTTCCAGAGGCCCGTCTTCATGCAGCGGCCCCCCGCCGCCTCGGCGCCCGTCAGGGTGATGTCGTCGTACTTGCCCCCCTTGGGGGCGCCGTTCAGACTGGCCGTGTTGAGCGGGTACGAGCGGCGCTTGCTCTCCTTCTCCAGCGCGCCGCCCCCGCCGCCCTTGAGGTTGTCGCGGCTGGCGCTGCGGCGCTGGCCCGGCCGGCCGGCCTCGGGGAGCGGCGCGCTGGTGTCGCTGCCCTCCGACGGCGTGAGCGTGGGCTCGCCGTCGAGCGGGGGGCCGGCGCCGGGGCTGTTGCGGCTGCTACCCGGGTAGCTGTCGGACGGGCTGTTGTGCAGGCTGCCGCTCTCGCTGGACAGCAGCTCGGATGCCCCCGCGGCCGCTCCCCCGCGCAGCGCCCGGAGCCGGTTCTTGCCGCCAGCCTCCCCCGCGCGGTGCCCCTTGGCCCGACTCTTGTGCGCTCGGCGCCCGTGGTGCAAGTTGTTGGCGTGGCGGGGAGCCAGGCTGCCCCGGGAGCCCATGGGCTCTGGCTCCCCTTCCCCGCGGGCCGTCACCCCCGCTTCGCACCCCTGACTCTGGGCCAGCTGCAGGTTGGTGAGCTTGCAGGGGCCCGGGGGCGGCGCGTGTCCGCTGCTGCCGCTTTGGGAGGACTTAAGGGAGGGGGGCCCCTCTCCGAACGCTGGGGAACCGTCCTCTGGGGCGGCAGGCACGGCCCGGGATGAGGCGTGGGGGGCCGAGGCAGGGGGGCAGCAGGCGCGCCAGGAGGCCCTCACATCCCTCCGCCTGGCACAGTGGTGGGTGAAGACGAAGAGGCCCAGGGCAGAGGCCGCCACTCCATACAGACAGCTGCACACCACCCGGGGCAGCCAGCGCTGGGACACGGCCAGAGCCCCACAGCCCCACATGGCCAGGTACAGGAAATGCGTGGTCACCAGCGCCCCCAGCTGGACTCCCGGAGAATAGAGGCCGTCACCATCCTGCGGGGATCCGGGCGTCACCACCCCAGCGCTCCCAGTAGCGAGAAGGGAACCCGAGTCACTCAGGAGGGTGCCGCTGCTCCTGAGCCTGGTGGAACCCCTCAGCTCCTCCCCTGGCTCCAGGGAAACCCTCCTGGTGCCCCCCTTTGGGCTCTGTGCCAGGGGACCCCGTAAGCGCAGCCCTGCACACAGGAAATAGATCCAGGTGATCAGCAGAATCAAAGCCACGGGGATGTAGAAGGCTCCTAGGCTTGGACGCCACACCAGCCAGCAGCTGAGGGGAGACAGGCAGTGGATGAGGAGGAGGGGGGTGTCTGAGGTGGGGCCCATAGGCTGGGTGGCTGGGGAGATAGAGGAGATGGTGAGTGGGGAGGCAGAGACTGGCTTAATTAACATGCATGGGCTGGGGTTGGGTCACTGGCTGGGTGGGCCTGGCAGGTGACCCTGCCAGTGGAGTGGAAGGCATCCGTGCTGGGCGGGTAGGTGTGGGGCAGGCAGGCAGCGGCGCTCACTAGGGGCTGTGGTCCTGGTAGTTGTGGATGTTGACAGCAGCCGTGATGCCACAGATAATGAGTGGGATTCCTCCAGCAATCAAATAGAACCTGGAGAGGAATGGGGTTGGGGGTCAGAGAGATGGGCAACAAGCGGGGAGGAACCACGTGCTCAGAACCCATAAGTCAGGGTCTCCGTCCCATTGTCTTCCCCTTTAAATTCTGTCAGATTTTTTTCCAGGGATGCAAAGCTCCTACAGGGTAGGCTCCACAGGCCTCTAGGGGGCTTGGCCAAGACTGTTCTAAGGGACAGAGGCTAGAATTGCTCTCTCTCACCCTGAACAGTGCAGAAGTCAGGGGTTCCCAGGATCCCTGCCCAGTGCCCTTTGGAGTCACTCCCTTCCCTGGCCTTGTCATGCCTGGAAAGTCTTAAGGATACACCTACTCCATGGGCTTGGGCAGCCTGGCACCACCCAGGGCGTTGCCTCTTCTGTCTTTGGAGAGTGATCTCCAGGACCTTGGACCCTGGGAGAACATAGTTTGGTGTCCTACAGCCCCTCCGAGCCCTTCCCCACCGCAAAGCTGACAGTTGGAAGCATGTACCGGAGCATGGGACGGGGAGCAGGCGGGGCAGAGTCCCCTTCTTGTGGAGGGGGCGCCCTCCAGGTGAGCTCCTTGTGGAGGACGCGAGCCTTCACACCCATCCAGAGCAGTGTGGACAGTGAAGAGTAGTGCAGAGTGATGCCCACCTGTGGGGTCAAGGCACTGAAGCTAGGGACTGGGCTGCTACTACTGCGGCCATCTCAGAGCCTCAGCCCCGCAGTGTTCTCCCACTCCTCCCAGCCCCCAGCTCCAACCAGATCCCCTCAAGGTTCTGTCTGTGCTGTTACCCTCTCTGCTTCCACCCCAGAGTTCTCTCCCACTCCGGGGACTCGCCATGACCCTGTCCTTGCTATTGGGCTCATTCCTGACTTCTCCTCCATTGCAGGGTCCACTCTCTACTTTGAAGTCATGTCTCCTAGTTTCTATGCTTCCTACCAGCCCCTACTCTCACGCCCCTCTCCCCATAAACAAGGCTGGACACAGAACAATGGAGCTGGGGCCTATTAGCATGAACTCCCTTTTCTTTCCCTGAACCTCCCTACTCTATGCCTAGGCTGCCATTGCTAATCTGGGAGCCCCCATGCCCTACCCCAGCCCCTTCTCCTGCTTACTGCTTGGCAGACCATCTGGTAGTTGGTAAGTGTGATGCCTCCTGCAAAGACGGCAGAGGTCATGGCCATGTGGAAGCACAGGTTCAGCAGCATGTGCCAGCCCTTCCGGGACACGTGGATGGAGCTGCCCCAGAAAGAGTCTTTAATTAATGGGCCACCCAACCCAAGGTCAGGCCCATGGGGTCTCAAGGCCGTTGCGAGAGCCAAAGAGGGGAAAGCAGATATCTGTGTGCATGCGTGTGTGTGAATGTGACAGAGGCCCCAGGGCAGGAAGGCCTTAACCCCCAAAATGTGTTTTCCAACTCCTAACCTTTAAATAAAAGGTTAGGCAAGAGCCTGGGAAAGTCATGTGCACCCACCTGGGAAGGGAAAACTTGCCAGTACTTAGAGACCCATGGTCCTCCCAGCACTCCCTCCCTTCCTGCAGGAGCTCCCACCTGTGGTTGAGGATGTAGGTGATGATGGTGGAGAAGAGGCAGAGCAGCAGCAGGGCTGTGCAGGGGTACACGACAGGATGCAGCCCTGCCCCTGAGCCCCCAACCTCCCTGGGGAAGGCACTCAGCTCCTGGAAAGAGAAGGAAAGAGGAAGTGAATATTAGGAAGCCAGGAGTAAAGGCTGCCCCATGGAGTCCTGGCCAGTACCCCAGGCCAGTTTTCCTCTTCCCAAGCCCTGTCAGCTTTGGTCCTCAGCTTTGGCCCTTAGTCCATCTGGGTAGGCAAGGATGTAAGTGCCATGACATCCACTCCTAGAAAGTTGGTTTAGGTAGCATTAATAATCTGCCTTTCTGGGGACTTTTCAGATCCCCAGCCTGAAAATC